TAAGTCGAACCGTTTGTAAGTCAAGACTCCACCGTAATCTGCCCTGTAGGTCCCCCACTGGATGTTTTCTCCACTGCATAGTGAGAGGATTTAAGTCAGCAATCTACACATTCTGCCAATATGATTGAGAGCAATAGCATAAAGATGTTCTAGGGATCCAGATTGTCATTCTACCAATACTGAGTTATGGATGGCTTCAGCATATCATATTAATTCTTCACAATAGCATTCTAAGATCTATTACACATTATATTCTGTTCAGTTGTCACCCAGCACATATATGTGTTGATATGCTACTGCAACTCGAGTTTCAAGAGGTAGTTCTTCCTTTAATGTCTAAGTCTGGCCCTGAAGGCAGTCCTTTCCCTGCACAGGACCTCTAGTTATAAATCAGATAAAGGTATATGCGTAACTGGATGGAATCCGAAGAATGCTGTTTAATATTTATCCTAGCTGTTTGTACCTTGATAAGCAGTGGGTCTTTCACAGCTGGGTACAGGAGGTGGCACTGGCAGGCCAGCTGTGATGTTTGCTTTGCATTTCACATGCTTATTGATCACATTCTTCTGAGGACAGCTGGACTTTGTAAAAGAAAGATTAATAGCTAAGTTTTCTTTTGGAGGTTTTGTGGAGCTGTTAGGAAAGAGCTCCTTTTTTCACCTATGTGTTCATTACTCAGTGAAAAACAAATAGCAAACAGGGCTTCGCTTCCTAGTATGACACACAGATATTAAATGCAAAACTGACTGACTGCAAAAAGATGATCCATCTAGATAAAGTCCTCATGCATGCCCCAACCTTATTCTGTTGCCACTGGAGAGCTCTTGTTCTCCCACCGTGTCTAATTTACAGATTACGAGGCGGGATGTTTGAGATGTCAGGGAGCAGCCTCCCTTTCCCTGAAAAAGACCATCAATCACATTATGGCTGAGAATTCCAGGGAGGAGTGAATAGCTGGTGGAGATGTTGAAGAGCTTTCCTAGTCACTGAGTGAACGTTTTCATGCTTAAGCTGTAAAACAGGGTGACAATCCCCCAATGAAGATGTTCCAAACATTACCACCACATCAACAGGGTATGGGAAAACAGTGGGAACAGGAATCTGTGTCTTGGGTCTTTATTCGTGTCCCAGCCAGTATCCAACCAGGACTATGTGTAGTGCATATGCTCAGCCACAAGGGGAAAAAAGTTTGGAAAAATAGAACTTTCATTCCTGTCTTCAGTGACAGATTTAAATGTTTAGAAAAAAATCTCCTGGTTAGAACCCAGGAACACAAAAGGTTGCATTCTATTTTTATATGTATAAGTTACTGATATTTAATTCTATTTGCTTTGGGTCTCAAGGAAGTAAGGAAGAAAGGAAGTTAGTTGGTTTCAAAATAGATGCCAGTACCTAGAATCCATTACAATCACTTCTCCCATCTGCTACATTTGTGAAATAAAGCTCAGTAAAATGAGGCCATCCACCCTTGATTCTAGAGCAATCCATTCCAGTCAGTGTTGTTGTAATTCGTTCGTTTAGTCGTGTCCGACTCTTCGTGACCCCATGGACCAGAGCACGCCAGGCCCTCCTGTCTTCCACTGCCTCCTGGAGTTGGGTCAAATTCATTCTGGTAGCTTCGATGACATTGTCCAACCATGTAATGGTTGTATTTAAATACTGTAATGCCTTTGTAGGGTACCTGCATTGTCTTCTGTGTACAGTACCATGCATCTTTCTTTCTTTCTTTCTTTCTTTCTTTCTTTCTTTCTTTCTTTCTTTCTCTCTCTCTCTCTCTCTCTCTCTCTCATTTATTAATTCATGCATCCACCCATTCATTCATTCATGCTTGCTTGCTTGTTTTCATGCTAAAGTCAAAGGGTTTGCTATATGACAACTATACTGGAATAAATTAAAATTAGCTCACTGTTTGTAACTCTTTACTTCCAGGTGTTGTGCAAAAAACAACAACAGGTCAGCCTTTCCACAGGCTAAAGTTTCTCAGTCAAGAGATTTTCCAATCAAAATGTAAGCCTTTTTGCATTTTAAATATAGAGATATATAGGAACAGAGTGAGGGGATGTACAAATTCATCATGTAGAAGAACTGGATTATCTCATCATAGGCTACCCAATGTAGGAAATACTGTATTCAGAAGTGCTTATTGCCTTCTGTGATGCAGTACTAATAAATCTTTGCTTGTACGAATCTGCAGTTGTCTGTGCAAGATCCACTACTTCTGCTGCCCAGTAGCTGCCCTCCAGGAGTTTTTTCTCCCCATCACTACTGGAACTATCTATTCTCTTCTGCTGATGTGACCATTATCCTTAAGTGGGATTCTATGGAAGCAAAAATGATGAAACTGAGACTGTTGCACTTTGGGCATATGATGAGAAGTCAGAAATTACTAGAACACACAAGAATGCCAAGAAACGTTAAAGGCATCAGGAAAAGAGGACAACCAAATATGAGATGGATTGGCTCCATAAAGGAAGCCATCACCCTGTGTTTGTAGGAGATGGGCAGATCTGTTGATAATAATACATTGTGGAGGTCACTTACTCATGGGGTCCCCACAAGGCAGAGGCAACTTGACAGCATATAACAACATCACAAGAACAGCAAAACTGGGAATGAGAAAAATACATAAGCAAAGCCAGTAAAATATCATTTTTAAATACTTCCTGTTACACAAGTTCCCTAAATAAAGCAGAGCAAAACACATTGGCATTATTTATTGAGCAATGACTCATCTTATTAGTTTTGCTTCTTGCATTGATTCTGGATTTTGGTTGCAAAACTTGACATGTCACATTCTTTGATGCGTGATAGTCTTTGATGCTTCTTCTATTATTTTGAATATTTGGAAATATGACAAAGCAACTGTGTTTCCTTCTTAGGCTTCATTTGGTAGATGCAAAAAGTGTTCTGTGGCACTTTAAACCATTACAGTTCATCCCAGGCTTTGGAGCTGGGGAAGGGTGACTCATCCTGAAATGGCTGGGCGAGGAGCCCCATCCTACTTGGCCCATAAGCTGATGATTATGGACTGCACCCCATTTTGTCAAATGCATGATGTGTATTCTGAGCTGGCAAAAAGAGCTGGATGTACTAACGGTGGAGGACGGCGAATTCAAAATGTGCCAACATAGTGATGAGCAGTAGTTGTTTAACAGTAATTGGAAGGTAATAAAAATAACTCAGCACCAACTGAGAAGAGTAGCAAATATATGAGGATGGTATGGAGGGTGGAATTTAATCTCTTCAGTGTGGAGAACTGGAGGCGGAAGTGCCAGAACTCCTGTTCCATGGATCTGCTCATTGTAAAGCTGATGAGGCAACAGGCTGCCCTACCGGAGTTCCTCCCGGCACACCAGTCTAAAGTTTTAGGGTTAGGCATTGCAGAAAATGTGTTGTTTTGAGGGCAGGCATGGATCTGTCAGACCTAAAGCCCACTTGTTCCCCTGAAACACCCACAGAAACCGTCCATCACTGCTTCAGTCCTGGGGCTGACATGGGTTTTTCTTTTCCATTGTAATCAATGAGGAAGGAGAGAAATAGCAAAATAGCAGGACAATGGACATGGTGGTTTCTCTGCCAGGGGATTTCCATGCTTCTCAACAGGAACGTCAAATAGGATTTCTCTGCCCACGTGCTAAGAATGTCACCCACTGACTTGATAGTTGTTCCTTTCACATAAGTGCTATTTATAATGAAGACCTCAGATGGCAATGTTGTGTGCAGTCCCTCCCCCCTCTGTCATTGCCTTGCTCACAATGGAAAGGGGCACACCACCCAGAACTGTGGAAAATCTCCACTCACAGAGAGCCTTGGTGGAGATGGGCAGGGTGACATCCTAGTCTTTGCTACTTTTCATACTGCTTCTTGCCAGATATCACCTTATGTCATGGTAAACAAACATTGTGGGTTAAATAAGAGGGATTTATTTAAATGATCAAAAATTAATAGCAACCAACCCCTCTCCATTGTTTCATACCAAATGCTTTTTTTAGTCTGAGGTTGTTTGACGAGCGGGGGCTCCTGATGGATTGCTGATGGCGGGATTATTTCTGTTCCTGTTGCAGATGTGGCTGCCACCCCCAGATCCCAAGGCTGTCCCTTCCTTCTAGGGTGTTTTCAGCCCCAAACTAAGGAGGCAACGACACCAGCTAGTCTCATTTGTTTGCTGTGTCATGGAAAGCCATCTCCACCTCCCTTCCATTGGGCCCAGCCCTTTACTGTATTCAACCAATCATTTAATTCTGAGACAGAGAATATGTGGCCTACTAGATGTGATTGAACTGTAGCTCCCAGCCATATTTCACTGCTAGGACTTCTATCATGTCTCCATACTTGTCTATGATGTGAACCTGCTTGGAATACTGTGTACTGGTCTGGGTAATTTGGCCCTGGCAAAGAGTTTTTAGAGTTGGCAAAGATGTAAGAAAGGAAAACCACAATGACTGAAAGGCTGGACCAGTTCATCTAGGAAGAAAGGTAATTTTTTTACATGTGGGATGTTTTCCCTCAGGAAAAAGACAAATGAAGAGGACACTGATTGCGTAGAAAATAATACACAGTGTGGATAAAATGGATTGGCTTTTCCTCATCTCCCATCATGCTCTTAATGAATGAGCCATTGTACATCTAAATAATGGATAGCAGTTCTGCCTTTTCTATCCATCTTTGTATTCTTATGTGTTGACATAGCTAAATATTAACATAAATTGCCAGTGTTTGAAACATGTGAACTGTGAGCCAGATGTACAGCAAATATTTGTCCTAAGCATTGCCCAGTTGCAAAAATAATTAGTTTTACTGAAATTGTTTTGCTCAAATCTATTAGGTATATATTTAGCACAGGCAAATGGTTATGATATACTCTGAGTTATAATGACTCAAGAAATACATTGTTGACTATTCCATTATCAGTGCCTGAATCAAGGACTGTCCCTGTTTTGAGTATCAAGCCAAAATATTAGAGCCTGTAGTCTTCTAGTCTGTCTAGATGCAAGACAGAGAATGTCAAACTGAGATGTCAGATGAGAAGGAGGGAACTCAGAGGAAAGCTGAGAGGACTCATAGTGACCAAAGCTCAAGATCGGGGTCAAATTCCAATAAACAATGGGGCATATGATAAATGAAAGCAACAGCATAGCTGTTCTGCTTCTCTACTTCCCGATGATTCCACCCCCACCCTCAAAAAGCCATTAGAAATTATTTCAATTGTCTCTTCCCTTTTACAGGCGCCATCTTGAAAATCCTGAAGTGTGATGATGATACATAAAAATTCCAGTTGGTGGCTAGAAGACCAAAGATTTCTCTATTTTATCAGTTCCTTTCCTGCAAGTCCAGACTGATTTGTAGTACTGAATATGTCTTCTTGTGAGAATGGAGTGTCAGGATGGAACCCAAGACACATCAGAGGAATAGATGAGCTCTTGGAACCAGTGGCCTCACTTGGTGATGATTCCAGGTTTGCCCCAGAGAAACCTCTCGGTGGCATCGACCAGTGCCTGCACATTCCTGGCAAAGCAGATTTGGCATACAGTTCATTCTCAGGGGGCTCCAATCTTCCAGAGTTTCCTGTCCCGCTATGCTACAGTGAGCAAGACTCCCCCCTAGAGCAGCTGCCTTATATGGATACAGGGTATGTTACAGGCATTTATAATCCCTGTGCAATACCGGAGGAACTTAGACAGATCTATGAACACAAGGGAACAGGAAAGAGCTCCCACTACAAACTGGAGGCCACTGGTCTCAGCGGACTGCATGGAAGCACTCCTATCCCTGGGGCGTTGCACCCATCACCATCGCCACTGGGCAAGTTTCCATCTCCTCTTCCTTGCCCTCCAGCTCAACTGGAGAGCTACAAAGCGAACACGGATGTAGATCAAACTCCTGGCATTTGCTTTGACTGCAGTATACAAGCAGACATGTGCATTCAAGAGATCAGGAAAGACCTCCTCTCTGACGCTGCAACAAACTGTTACAATGATTATTGCCTCTCCCAAGGTAAAGACGAAACTCCAGTCACAGAAAAGAGGGCTGGGTGTCTTGCCAAAGCGTACACAGTGAAGAAAAAGAACTCTTTCATTTTCATCACACCTTCCGCATTTTCCCAAGAAAAATTAATGCCTGATTCTTCCCAGACGATTTTGCAGGCTCAGAATGCAATCCACGCTTATAAAATCCCTGAGATGGTGAACTCTGACTCCTTTCCTTTGCTACAAACCAGCCACAATGCTGTTAATGATACACAAAAGAACAAACAGTGTTTTCATGCCTGCAGTGTACACAAACCACCCACTGCAGAAGGAGATTTGCCAAGCACCGTGGCAGTATCCAGTCAACCAGAGGGACAGATTCACCCGGCTCTGCAGCTGTCCAGAATACAGGGTCGTTCAGCGCTGGAACAGGACATATGCATAAGGACAACACACTTAAAATACACTGACAGCTCTCTTCCTGGTAAGTCTGGGCTGGGAATAATTAATAGCTATGAAGAAAAGAAAGGTTTCATCTGTTCAGAAGAAGAAAACAGTAGAAATATTTGGCAGCCACTTCTAAAACAACAAACCACAATGCAGAAACCGCACTCTCATGGCCTGGACTTTACAGAAACTCCTCACGCCATAATTTATGAGCCAACCAATACAGTATCGTATTACAGTCATGATGCAGAGGATACTATATCTCAGCCGTTCAACGGATTTAGAAAACCAGAAGAAAATGATCATTATAGTAGCCCTGAACTTCTTATGAACTCAAGACAAGACGAAATGCTGAAGACTGTCGGTTTTCCAAAACAACCATGTTCGAAGAAGGCTGAAAGTCAATCTCAGGAGGATTCTGCCAGTGAAAAGATAAACAGAAGGACGACTCCCTTGCTTTACTACCTTTCTGGTGGGAAAAATCCCAACATTATGAGTCATGAAGCTCATAATGCTCTGGACCCAGACGTCTCCTCAGTGAACTCTCCAAGGAGCGCTTGCCCAGTCTCAGCTATACCAGTAAAGATACTAGGAGACAATAACCAACATGTGGATGAGACTGCCTGCACGGATGAGGGGTTAATTATGGAGAGCTGTGCATCAGCATCCCTTGATGAGAACTTCAAGAATGACTATCGGGAAAAACTCAAAGTTGCTCAAAGCAAGGTCCTCAGAGAAACTTCTTTCAAGAGGAAGGATTTACAGATGAGTTTGCCTATTCGGCTAAAACAGAAAGCCTCTTCAAGGCCATCTATTCAACATCTCAGGTCTTTGTCTTTATCTAGTACTAATGAGGAGCCCAAGTCAGTTCCACCCCTCAAGCCATTGGGACACCTCCGGAAGGAAGAAGAATCCCAAAGGCTGCCAAATCTCCGAATTGGAGGAAGGAAAAGGGCCACCACTGAACAAAAGAAGATTTCCTATTCTGAACCAGAAAAGCTCAACCAGCTGGAGGATCAGAGAGACCAAAACGAGTCATGGAAAAAGAAAAATGCAAGGTCCCACTCGGATGAGATAAGTGAGCAAGACACCAGGATCCTCAGGATTAAATCCACGGAGAGTCGAGGAAGGGCTCTTACTAAGGCAGAACTGAAGCAAATACAGCACAAAGCCCTTCTTGAGTACATGGAACGAAAGACAGGGCAGCAGCCAGCTCCTGCCAGCAACAACAACATGCAGCAGCAGAAGCCCCCTTTGCAAGGGAGGACTGCAACTCCGAAGAGGTTTTCAGAAGACACCAGTAACAGTGGAAAGTTACAGAGTATGGATGGTCTGTGTCGAATTCTTGAACCATCTTCCTTCCCCACTGCTTCAACATCTGTAGATCCTAGGGCCAGCAACTTTGCCTCAACAAAATGCCTTATTCGCTCTGTTTCTTCTGCCACCAGCAAAGGCCACGGGGGATCAAGATCAACGCCTTTACCTGTGCAGGTAGCCAAATAGCTATTAAGATATTACTTACTGTTTGTGCCAGATGTGTTACTGTGTTGATCCCTTTCTTGTAATCATAATCTAAATGCTTACTTGCGTGGGCCAATATGCTGACATTATTATAGGCATTAACTTGTGTTTTCCTTGTGAAAAGAAATGACTCATGATTTTATTGGAAAGGGCACACATTTGCATTATGTGGTAGGAAGTGCTCATTGAATGGAAAAATGTGACATAATTATGCATCATAGTAATGTACATGCCACAAATGTTTATAGTCTTTGGTTAAGTAGACTAGTAGAGTCTAGGTTCATAATCTGTACCTTTTGTATGACTCTTTCCTTCAGTCTGAATGAATGGGTATGATCCAGCTGAAACTCAGTCCCTCTTCATTTCATTTGCACGTCAGTGTGCTCAACTGTAGGCATGATACATTAATGAACTTAGTCTACTTTACATGATCATTCTCTCATTGAAATAACTGGGAATTAGGTTTGGCTGGTCATGCCCAATTTTCTTAAAATCTAGTGTCATATCATCTCTTCTTCACATCCCCCCAATAATTTAATGTCATCAGATGCCATTATATTAGTACTGAAATAAAGGGCAGCTGTGTGATCATAACAAAATAAAATCCAAGTGCAAAAATAGGGAATACCTTTATAGATCACTAAAAAGTGATCACACAATAAACTGAGCTTTCATGGATTAAACACAACTTCATTAGGATTGTACCAGAGTGAAGAACTTAAAAGTCAAAAACTGAAAAGTCCGAAAGTACATGGCAAGATTTTTTTTTTGGACCAGGAAAGTCACACCCCACAAATATTTCCAGCATCACAAGTGAAATGTATATGTCCCAGTGCAAAAAATTCAAAGAATGACATTTAAAGATAATGTTGGAAAACAGGATAAGGAATACAAACACAGCTAAAAGGGAAAGAAAATAGAGTGTAAATGATTGAGAAGGTATTTGTTTCCTTTTTCAACTCAAGTTATTATTTCTTAGATAACAGCCTGTCCTTAGTCCCTCCTTTCTTGAGATATAGTTAAGTAAACAGCAGCAAACATAAGTCCTGTACAGACGTTTCAGGTCCATGGGAAAAGTTGTAGGAACCAGCGAAAACTTGTAAACTGCACCCTTCTTTTGCCATTTCTGATTGTCTTTCACTTGTGGAAGATGACATTCTGAATAGGAGATCCTGTCCTGGTCATGATCCCCATCAACTTAGAATTACAGAGCTAGAAAGGGCCCTACGAATCATCAAGTCCAGGCTCATCAAGGAAATACAGTAGGGAACTAAACTCCCAATCTCCAGCTCCTCAGCCAGAGACGTAATCCACTGAGCCATCTCTTTGTCACAGGGCTGTAACTGTCGGAGAATAACTGAGGCTTTCCCCAGGTTGCCCAAGTGTAGAGGATACCAAAATCTACAGTTAAATTTGCTGGCAAGTTATAAGAAAATGAACAGCAGCACCTCACCTCTGCCTTATTAACCTCTCTCTGTTTTGGAAACATAAACTTCCTCTTTCTTTTGGGAGAACCTCACATTCTTTTCCCCTTTTTTCATGGGGGGGAGTTTGTGCCCACTCATCAGGGAAGAGTGGGCAGGAGATGGGGTTATTTGACCTGGGTGTCACCCAGTTATGGCTCGGCTGTGTTATCCAGTGTGTATGGAGAGTGTCCATGAATAAGGCAGGTTCTCCTATTCAAAAAGTCAGCCTCCACATGGCACGGCACCCACAAGCGGTAACAGATGAGGGCAGGCATAACATTCTGTTCAGGCGCTCAAGTGTATAAAATTCTGTCCAGGTTCTCCCAGTGAAGAGGACCCAAGGAGCCTCACAAAGGACTAGTTGAACTAAAACCAGAATAAATTACAAACTTAAAAAAAACCAATTAGACATATAATAGTAATAAAAATGATTATCTACACAGTTAAAAGCTTTAATGCACACTTAAAAGAAACATATTCACCGCATCCTGGAGAAACTCAGTCTTGCCCAATTTCGTTCTTAAAAGGCAGGTCTTGAATGGAAACGACAAGAGGGAAGGAGGCCAATTTAATTTAACCTACTCTGCTTTTCTGACTTTCTGTGGGTAAAGCAGGGCTGGCTCAGTGGCCCAGTCCCTCGTGACTCAACTTTTTAAAGGATCTCATCACTCTTCGGAGCCAAATCTGCATTCATCCTTTATGAACAACAACAACAACAACAAAGTCCAGTCCATCCCTGCTGCTAAGACTCTGTAAGTGTGCTAAGGAAAGAGGGTAAACGAAAACTGTTATAAAGTAATATGGAGAAGGTATTGAACACCAACAAAATTGAATATAGATATCAAAGCTATATCATCTACATGTTGGAGACGTAAGAAAGAAAGAGGAACATACTATCATATGTGACATCTTTGTATCTTAGTCCCTAGAACTTCTTTAATCTCATTTAATTTAATCAACCATTCCTTCTGTCTCTTTTCACATGTCCACCACATATGATAGTATGTTCCTCTTTCTTTCTTCCTTCCATCTCTGATATATAGATGATCTCTCTTTATTCAATGTATTCAATTTTGTTGGTGTTCTATACCATCTCCATATTACTTGACAAGTGCCACAGACACAAGTTCCACTGACAGAGGTGTTCACATAGGCCAAAATTATTCATAAAAAATCAATTTCATAAGCAATTTAAAATAAATGACTTTCTCGCAGCCGAGTAAAATGGCTTTCCTATAAAAAAGAAACACGCCCTCTACAAAAAAACAGCTCTTCCCTGTGTGCTGTGTAGTTGGAATTTTTAAAACTGATTTCAAACGTGCTAAAGCCAATTCAGAAACAGGTTTCTTTCCATGTACTGTATATCTGAGCCCTTCTTTGTGTTTGCACGATTTCAAACATGCTAAAGCCAATTCAGAAACCAGTTTCTTCCCATGTATATCTGAGCCCTTCTTTGTGTTTGCATAAAGTTTTTGTTACTTGCTGCAGGTAATTGCCTCTATGTGATGAGATCCTGGTACATATCTTGGCTATGTTGCCCATTGATGCACCCAGTTGGGCAAGTGAGACACTCCCCACTAACTTGTCAATGAGCTGCAGTTATCTGTAGCAGGTTAAGCAAACCTCATACCAAGAAGGATGAAGTAAAGCACTTTACATAACATTGTATGGTCACTTTTGACACAAGAAGAGACCAGGTACCCATGACAACCTGACTCTCTCTCTCTCTCTCTTAAAACTTCCACCCAATTCAGGTTACTTGTTACACATCTTGATTATTTTACTTTTAACATTTAAGATTTCTTTCCCAGATTAAGGCTGGGAATGTCTACTTCCACTAGGTATCATTAAGGATGGATTGATTTGCCAGTTCAGAGTTCTAGTCAGTTTCTCATTTTCCTAGTCATAGCTCTGCTTTGTCCCATTTCCACAGAAGGAATTTATTTATTTTTATTTATTTATTCAATTTTTACCCCACGCTCTAGACATCGTCTAGGAAGCAGATAGAAAGGAGGGAGGGAAGGCAGGCAGGCAGGAAGGTAGACAGGCAGGTGGTCATATGCTCTTCCATGTGTACATACCTTGAAATGGAATTCTTATACTGTATGCCATTTTGTCTATTATGCTCATTTTTGCATTATAGTACATTTTGTATATTATGTACATATACATGTGTACATAATATTTACAGTTTTATTGTAGCTTTCAATTGGAGAATTGCATGACAAAAAGTGCAGTTATGTTTGGATCTGAACATTTGTTCAAGGAAAGCAAATCAAGGAAATACATATTAAAATGTGAACTGGATGGATTTCCCCCCTATGCTTTGGTAGCATATGTAAAAAAAAAGGAGAGAGCCACTTGTGTGCCTTTCTCTTGTACAGAGAGATTCCTTCATGCTAATTTCCCTCTGCAGGATTTCTATACACCTACAGCTTGTCTGGCGTCGTCAGCTGAGGATCATGGACGCTATCTGAGTCACCCCAAGTAAGTGTGTCATTTCAAATGATAGGGCCTGCTCATCTGATTAGCATTTTTCACTGTGTGATGGGTCTTTATAATAATCTGTGCCTCATGATGTTTCCACGTGGAAAAGGGAGTCCTATCAGCCCTTATGAAAACATAGATACAGCTGTTGAGTTGCCAAAATAATTTCTATTTCTTTCTGGTTCGATTTCTGCTGACACATTTTTCCGCTACTGTGACTGGGGAAATTGTTTGTGGCAGAGACCACAGCCATGTTCACAGGAAGGTTGAATCAAGTCACATTCCGTGCTTTCTGGGTACAGGTGCCTCCAAGGAGGTCGCCTGCGTGGTCTCATGGTGAAAACTGTAAATGTCTGGTCTATATCTTACATAATGTCTATCCAGAGGTAGTCATGGAAACTTCTAAACAAGGACATCTACCCAGTCCCTGGGCAAGCTGGCAATGCTTTTGAGAACTATAATTTCTATGCAGTAGAAGTTTTTCCTAGGGGTGCACACTAGCACCAACATTCAAATTTGGAATTCAGGTTTGGAATTATAGCCCTTCAGATTCGGAATTATAAAAATGCAGAATTTCCAGATGCACAGAACTCTGTTACAGTCAATACAAATACTATATAATAATTGTTTTCCCCATTTAAAAAAAATAAACAGACAGAACCTTTTTAAGGATTTCCCTGTGTCCTTTGACTGATTGTGCCAAACCTAAAGGGTGCGCACCAGCAGGTGGCAGAACCTAGATATTAAGAAATGACTATAATGAGCATACTCGTTTAACCTTGAACAGGAAATGCCATCAGCATTGGGGAAGCAGAGGACAGGGACTAGGCGAATACCCCAAGCAGCATTGGAAGGCAAATTGGAGAAGGGGATGGCCAGTGTTGAGTGGGAACTGTGCCAACACAGTTAAGTGACGGAGCACAATCTTGGAGGAGCAGATGGAAAAAAGAAAGAGGCAGAAGGAGGGGGAAGCAGAAGTATTGGAATACTTAGTACAGTGAGCAGAGTGTGCCATTCTCACTTACAGTGGTGCCTCGCTATGTGAAAACATCGCTGTACGGAACGGGGAAGCCCATCGTTTAATGCGTTCCAAATGGGCAAAAAACTCACCATTCAGCAATGTTTCCAGGGTCCGGCAGCCATTTTCGTGCCCTTGGTAAGTGAAGGCAGGGCGCGAAAACGCTGTGCACGGCCATTTTGGGACTTCCGGCGGCCATTTTGGAGCCACCAAACAGCTGATCCGCGGGCATCGTTTTGCGAATATCGGTAAGCGAAACGCTTACCGATCATCGCAAAGCGAATTTTGCCCACAGGGGCCATCGGCATGCGATCGCATTTGCGATCGCAAATACCTCATCGCTATACGATTTCGTCGTTCTACGGTGCGCTCATTAAGCGAGGCACCACTGTACTTAAATGGGACTTCAGGGAAGCCAAGCAATGGTAGATTGGCCTTAAAGAAACGATCCTTTCCTACATCTTTGCCTACCCAGTTCTAGATAGTAGTGACCAATATTTGGTAAAAGGCTGAAATCCTGTTTTTGAAGCTACACCCATGGAAGACTGATTATGTCATCATCAGGGGGAGATTTTTTATTCTGTCCTGTGGCTCCCTCACATCTCATGCAATAGTTTTCATAGTATGGAAGCTATGAGAGCTGTGTGGTGGAAGAAGTCTTATGACATTACTGACTAGTGATTTTTGGTAATCAGAGACATCCTCCTCTTGTCCCATGGCTCCCACAGCTTTCAAGCGATAAAAGAGATTGCACTGGGGCTGTGGCAGCCATGGGGCAGAATTTGGAAGTGCTTAATTTCCAGAAAATATCTCCAACTGATTACTTCATCAGCTTTCCACAGGCACAGCTGAGCAAACAGGATTTTAGCCAATCAGTTTGCCCTAAAGTTAACCAAAAATGGAATTTCAACTAATTAAGAAACCCCATTTTAAAAATTGCCAACTGCTGTGAAATGTTTGATTCCTCGGGAAGAACAGAAAGACCAGGACTTACCTTGCCAGTAGCAGTATTAGCAAAAACATTGGGGGTTTTTGCATAAAAATCTTGGCTGAAATCCATTTGGAGAAAAAACATGTACATGGAATGGCAATGGTGCACTATTTTCCCCCTCCTGCTAGATCCTCTTTGCATGATCAGGCATGTAATCAGTCCTGCACTCAGTTCTACAAGCAGTGTGAGACTGGGTTTGTGAAGAGTGCCAACACCATTGCATGAATAAATAGCTTTCTGTGTGTGTTCAGTCGTTTAGTCGTGTGTGCCAACACCACTGCATGAATAAATAGCTTTCTAATCCATGTGTTTTGTATATATATTTTTAAAAACCTTGAACAAAATATGTTTCATATGTAAAATACAGGCTTTTTTGCACAAAACATCTTTTTCACATTTAAAAAAGTGGAAAAAAATTAAAAGAGAGGAAAACCTCTCTTGTTATCTTGTCCTATGAGGGACAATTTTGAATTTTTGTGTTCTCATCTGTGAGAATTTAATAAGCACAAATTCCCCCCCCCCCAGCATATCCTCTTGTGGATAAAAATGGGTGCAAATACTGTATATGAAACGTATGCCAGTGGAACTGAGGAGTGTGCTTTCCATTACAAAGGATTGGCAACAGCAGTTTTTAGTCCCATGATTTGCAATCATAGTGCCACCATCTGATCTCCTATAGAAATACTGTATGGAGTACAGAAAATGTAGGACCAATATGGTAAACTCCTCTCTATCTGTTTATAAAAAGCATGTTCAGCATTTACTCATATGTGTGTTCAGTCGTTTAGTCGTGTCCGACTCTTCGTGACCCAATGGACCAGAGCACGCCAGGCCCTCCTATCTTCCACCGCCTCCCGGAGTTGTGTCAAATTCATGTTGGTTGCTTCGATGACACGGTCCAACCATCTCATCCTCGGTCGTTCCCTTCTCCTCTTGCCTTCACACTTTCCCAACATCAAGGTCTTTTCCAAGGAGTCTTCTCTTCTCATGAGATGGCCAAAGTACTGGAGCCTCAGCTTCAGGATCTGTCCTTCCAATGAGCACTCGGGGTTGATTTCCTTTAGAACTGATAGGTTTGTTCTCTTTGCAGTCCAGGGAACTCTCAAGAGTCTCCTCCAGCACCACAATTCAAAGGCATCAATTCTTCGGCGGTCAGCTTTCTTTATGGTCCAGCTCTCACTTCCATACAACACTACAGGAAAAACCATAGCTTTGACTATTCGGACTTTTGTTGGCAAGGTGATGTCTCTGCTTTTTAAGATGCTGTCAAGGTTTGTCATTGCTTTCCTCCCAAGAAGCAGGCGTCTTTTAATTTCGGGGCTGCTGTCTCCATCTGCAGTGATCATGGAGCCCAAGAAAGTAAAATCTGTCACTGCCTCCATATCTTCCCCTTCTATTTCCCAGGAGGTGATGGGACCAGTGGCCATGATCTTAGTTTTTTTGATGTTGAGTTTCAGACCGTTTTTTGCACTCTCGTCTTTCACCCTCATTACAAGGTTCTTTAGTTCCTCCTCACTTTCCGCCATCAGAGTGGTATCATCTGCATATCGGAGGTTACTCATATGACACATTCTAAATACAGTAGAATGTTAAAATAAAAAGGATCTCTTTTTTTGGCCATGGGTGCAATAAAAAAAACATGCGCCAGCCCAAATAAAAGTTAAATACAGAACCACCAAAAAAATACTTTATAAGTACTGTATGACTTTCCTGGGCTTCAGGACAGATTTATAGTCTATGGATGATATACTGTATTTCATTATCTTCCATTGGCAGAGAAATCTACAGGCTTCACCAGAACAGTGCACATTAAACTTCATCTGTTATCTCCACTTCCTGTTCTTTCTCATTACTTTCCCAAATGAAATGCAATACCATAATGGGGTTCCAACGCATTCCAATAGTAACTTCAAAGCACTCTTGAACATTTCCAGATTTATTAGGTTTACATGATTAATCCTCTTAAAAGGAGAACATCAGGAATATTATTCCCACTCTGGTATATTTGCTTTCTGATAACGGAGAGAGATGTTCTTTCAGTATGTTCATTAAAATATCAAACACACATATTATTGTAATTGTTGTTTTTCAAACACACCCCAAAAGCCGACTTTAATTAGACAAGGGGCCGTTGTTCTGAGGTAGTACTAGTTTGCTACCTAACAGGCATTGCATTTGGATAACTATAGGTTTGGATATATTAAGAAACCAAAATCCAAAAACAAGTTTTGATCATACTTCTAAAACAGATATGCAGTATTTTAATGGGCAAGCATTTGAGTCCTGCAGGCCTTTTCTTCACTCTGGACATTGCTCGGCCGGGCCTGGGAGTAACAGAAAAATCCAAGAGTATCCTAGCCAGATGCTGAGACTTTAGGCCTATACTTCAACTAAAATCCCAAGATGGAGGCTGCAAATGTACAAGACCAGTTGGATAGCTCAGAGGTTTAGGCATCCGGCTCCAGAGACAGAGTTTGGAAGTTCTGTCCCCCCCCCGCCCCCAATTTGCCTCCTTGATGGGGCTGGACTCAATGATCCATTAGGGTCCCATCAGGTTCTGCAATTCTAAGGTGGTGGTAATGGTGGCAGTTATACAAAAATACCAGGCATGTATAATAAAAATTATAAAAACATTGGCTGGTATTATTAACCAGATACAAGTTTTAATCAAAAACCTAAGTATCTATTAAATATCAACATAGTATCTATGATGTTCCTAATGTTGCCATTTTTTTGTAGCTCTGATGATGTTACTTCTGAAATCTGCAAGTTACAATTATTTATTATAATAGTTTATAATACTGTGCGAAATTTCTTGATATTGTTCGCCACGCCCTGATGATAACGGTGATGATGACGATGATGTGTTGGTATGAGGTTGCACCTTAGTAGGGAATGTAAAGTCAGTGGGCTTTCTCCAGTTTTGTAGACAAAGGGATGCCAGTCATGGAGTGAATTCTCCATTTTCCTTGGTTAAAGCCGATGTTCTTTGCTTTGACTGGAGAAGAATCAGCTAATGACACAGCAATCCCCATGACAGAAGAACTGGAGATTAAATCGAGTAGAACACTGGCCAAAAAAAGAGTTCTATTCACAGGTTGACTAGAGTTCTAAAATGGTGCCGCAATGGAAAAATCAGCTTACATTACATTCATATTAATTATCAATGAAAAAAAGATGGTTGGATTGATATATATATATATTTACAAAGATTATATATAATTTGAAACCAACCTGGAAGCTGACCAAAAAGATGCTTTGGTGGCTGCAAAGCAAAGCATTTGCATAATTATATAAATCAATAGCTAGAAGAAGTGGGAAATCTGTGGAAGAATCAGGAAGCTCAGAAACAATTAGATGGTCACCGTTGAGCCAAAGTGTAGATCCGTTTCACCCTCTGAAAGGCTGCTGTGTTTTCTCTAGGGCAGAGACTGGTCAAAATGGCCGAGGGGCAAACCATCAACATCTTCAGGATAACTGTGAGTCCACACTGAGACACCTGCCCAGGCAGTCACTAGCTGAAGATTCGACGGGTTATGCATTTGAACACCCCCATAATACGAAGAGGAGTAAGGATAAACTCCCTAGCACTTTGGCAAGTCCGTCCTTGAGCCCTGCCCCTTTGCCAACTGGGAGAAGGTCCCTGTGCTCAAACGTACAAGGAGAGTCTCGTGATTCTTCACCAGTCTTGTCTCTGACTGAAATGGATGAGGATGTTTTTAAGGATTCTTCTGCCAGTGTCTCCGACATGGACTCGAACCTTCCCCACTTCCCTAGACAAAGTCTGGGTCTCACAGTAGTCAGGGAAACATCAGCACGTACTTCTACTGCACCTGTTTTACAGATTTCTATGAAAGAAAAGCCTATCAAAGAAGAACAAGCTATGAGGTAAATAAGTTTTTCTCTTATTGAGATAGCAAGTTTCTTTTATTCAGTGTACACCTGCTGGTATATGAATTCAAGTGTGCCATGGGTCTAGTTGCTTTAATGCAGTGGTTATGTACCATAAAAGTTGGTAGAATATGTCTTATTAATTGAAAAAAAAGTGGATTTAAGCAGCCCAAAGTGTTGTTGTTTCAAACTATAAAGCTCCCTAGTGCCCTCTAGTGGCCACTTTTTTAAAAAACTAAAGTTTTGCAGGATCTAGCGGCGACTCAGGGATGTTGGGGGCAGCTCAAACCGTGACAGAATTGTCCCCTACCCCCAGCGAGCACAAGAGAAATCTTCTGATTAAAAAACTGTGGTGAACCTGCTAGGGGCCAGGGGGTCGGGAGGGCCATAAAAATGGTGCTGAGACCACATGTTGTCCATCTATAGTTAGGTATGTACATCACGCAGGAGTGAATCTGCCCTGTTCCAGAAGGGAGATGAATGAACCAGGGTTGCTTAACAAACCAGGATTGTGGTAGCTATCAACGGTACAGTCTTAATTTTCAGCATATCTCTCCTGATCTCAGTCAGCAAGGTGAGGAGGTATAAACCTAAGATATGGCCAGAGAGAAGAATATCAGTCTATGTGCCTTTGCATGTGTGTACATATACATATGCATGTCCATATATTTCAGGGAAGGAGGAAAAGGAAGGAAGCCGTTGCTGGCTGCTTCTTTGTTCAAGATAGTATTTTAGATGCTAATGTTTGCATTCCGAATGAAAAGCTAAATGTGACCTCTCGGTGAACTGAAGACCTTCTGCTGAAGCCTGCTGGGCATCTCACAAGCTCAACCTTTACAGCCAGAAATTTGTAAAGCACTGTTCTCAATGGAGCTTATTTTGAGCTCATATTTATTTATTTTGTTTGTTTGTTTCCACTTATAAACTGCCCCATAGTGCTTAAAGCACTCTCCATGCAGTTTGCAATTTAATTGTGCAGGCCGCACATTACCCCCACCCACCCCTTTGCAAGCTGGGTATCCCTTTTGCTGACCTGGGAAGGCGGGAAGGCCGAGTCTGCCTTCCTGAACATGTCAGGATTGAACTCAGGTTGTGCAGCTTCACCGTTACGCCGTGAGGCGCCGTTGCGCCATGAGGCTGGATAATCATGTCTGAACAATGTATGTGTGCACATTTATGAATGATGTATTTATTTTGTTTGCATGTCTGCGTTTTTAACCTGAATATGGGAGTATGAATAATAAAAATGTAAGAGATCTCTTCTTTTTAAATCTGGAACCTGGATAGAGCTAAGAGTGATAAGCTCTTATGCACCAAAATTTATCACTAGAAGATGCCTCAAGGCAAATTCCATATTTGCGTGATACCTTCGGCATGTCCTGATCATTGCTGTAGTAGGAGTCACCAATTCAAGTTGTGTGCCCCCTTCCAGCAAAGCATCTGCTCTGAGCTAAAAGAAACAATGGAAACAGCGAGGTAGCATGTCTGGAGGAAGCAGAAGCCAGGGAGGAGGGGCAGGGCCCCCAGGAACTGCTTGGCTGGGCCACTTATTGCTCCCAGGCCTGAGTAATGTCACTTGGAAAATCTCTTGGTTTGCCTGCTCTGATATGGCTGTCACCAGTAAAGGAGGAGGGTTATATTTAAGGTACATATGCTGTTGTGAAAGGTGAACGTTGATCCTATGCATACTTACTTGGGAATAAGCAAGTTGCTCTTGACTTCAGGGACAGTGCTGTAACATTACGTACCGAATAGCACAGTTTTAGCTTCAGTATATCAACAAGAAAGAACTATTGTCAAATTGTGTGGAATTGCCTTTGTTAATGACCTTTACAGTTCGATGTGGGGAAACTTCCAGGCTAAGCTCCTGAAAGTTGGACAACATTTTATAAGGTCTTGCTTATTATTTCAACTTTTTTTCCTCCAGCCTAAGAAGTTTCAGGTCTAACTTTTCGCCAGCAAAGTTCTTTTTTTAAAAAATAATTTTTTTTTCTTACATAATTCCAAGTATATTGACATTATGCTTTCTTCTAGCTTCACTGTTGCTGGGAAATATGAATCTAATCCAGGAAACAACAAAAAAGATGAGGATTCACGTAGCCCAGGGATCGCTTGTGAATACCCAGCATTTTGTCTCCAAAAAGAGAGCAACACAAATTTTCAACTGAAGAAGGAAATGAGTGAAGAATCTCAAGGGTCCAGTGTATCTCACGGGCAGCACTTGGAAGGAAATGACAGAACACATCCCTCCGAGGAGGGGGCATACCATGGCACAGCCCTGTTAGATCACCTAGGATGTAAAAATACTGGATGTCCAATGATAAATTCAAAAGGCCTGCAAAATGATTTTGCCTACAGCATCCCAGTGCAAGCTGCTGATTCATTGATAGCCCAGTCAAAATCTCCGGAGGACCAGCTATGTGGAGATCATGCTGTTGAGATCATTGCCAAAGATGAGTCTCTGGCTGACATCCTAACACCTCAACCCATTAGGAAGACTGCTTTAGAGCTCATGGAAGGTCTTTTCCCTGTGAACCTTTCAAGGCCAGGCAGATCCTACAGATGGAAGCAGGGGATTCAGTTTGCCCAAGAAAACGAGTAAGTTCCCAAAGGAGGTTGTTTCAAGTAACATACTGTGATCTGGGTGGGAGAGGGGCAGGACTAATCGTACAGTTGATATTGACGTCTATATGGATTATCCGTGGCCTGATAAAAACACTCTAGATTGCATTAACGGCAGTGGTAAAGTGCTGAGAAAGAGACAGAAGTAGCCACAGAATTCCAGGTCATGTTTCCACACCATTCCTGCAGTTTCCTACACCTTATGTGATACAAACTGTCCTGGGAAAGGGAAAAACCCTCAGAGGCAGAGCACTTCTGCTGTGCTTTTAAAAAGATCTGAGGTTCAATCTCCACTTAATAGGATCAGGCAGCTGATAAAGCAAAAGTCCTCTTTTGGAGAATCGGGGGAGCCACGGCTCATGAAAGCAGAAAATATTAGGCGAGATGGATAAAAAGTTACGGGAGTTTCCTATGTTCCTTTTCCAGCACAAGCTCTGTTGAAACAAACCAAGTTGCACGGGGATCGTCCTGTAACAGACCCTTTCCCATAGGATGTGGATCCCATGTTTTTTGTTGTCCTGTGGGAATGTGACCAAGTGACGAGGCATCCACATGACTTGGTTTTCACTGGATGAAAGAACATTAGAGGTTTATGATGTCTTTGCTACAGTTTCCCATTAACTGTGGTACCTTCTGACACATTTGTCTAGGATGGGATTTGGACACAGCACTGGAATTACACATTCATACTGGAGTGAAAGCTAAAAAGCAAAGTGTGCTGCTTATATACCACCCCATAGTGCTTAAAGTACTCTCTGGGTGGTTTACAATTTATTAATGTAGGCTAAGCATTGCTGTCCCCCACCAGAGCAAGGTGGATACTCAATTTAACAACTTCAGAAGACTGGAAGGCTGAGTGAACCTCAAGCTGGCTATCTGGGATTGAACCTGGGTTGTGAGCAGAATTTTGGCTGCAATACTGCAGTTTAGCCACTGCGCCACCATAGCTCCAAGGATGTACATTTTGGTGACAAATTGCTACCAGTTAAGAAATTAGTACCATTTTTTTCCCAGTTGCATACCAAGCACATGGCTGCTGTGTGATAAAGAAAAATTAGTACTGACTTCATAATTGATAATCTGTTATGGTGGTGAGCCTACCTAATAGGATTCTGGCCAGTGTTTTAATGGGGTTTCAGTCTTTCTCAGAGGAAAATGTTCAGGTGGTAGACTCTTGTTCAACACTGTGACCTTTGGTGTCCCTTATTGTTCCATTTATTCTCCATGCCATTATATATACACATGAGAGGCTGGTAGGTTAGATATTTGGTAGGGAAAAATGTGACAAATCTAGAATACTTATTTAAGCACAAGTCTTTCAGTGACTGAAATGCTTGTCATATGATTAATAAAGTATGTCTCCTTTGTATGTGGATAGCCAAAGAAGCAGTGAGTATCCAACTGATCCATCAACCAGGGCTAGCAATTATCTTGGACAAGGAGCTGAAGATGCCACATTTCACATCCACCAAATGCTGAGTAAAAACAAAGAGAACTTAGATGATCCAGAGAACATCACATCCCCAAAGGTAAGTAAACGAGAGACTGTGCCATGCTATACATACATACATACATACATACATACATACATACATACATACATACATACATACATACATACATACATACATACATACATACATACATGATGATATGACAGGCATAGATTCAGTTTTGAATAGTCCAATTCTTCCTCCTTGGAAAGGCAGTATAGGGTATACAGTGGTGCCTCGTTTTACGATTGCCCCGCATTACGACGAATCCGCTTTATGACGATCTTTTTGCGATCGCAATTGCAACCGCAAAACGATGGTCTAAATGGGGGAATTTCACTTTGCAATGATCAGTTCCCTGCTTCGGGAACCGATTCTTCGCAAAACGATGTTGTTTAAACAGCTGATTGGCGGTTTCAAAATGGCCATCAGGTAATTAAAATGGCTCCCCGCTGTGTTTAGGGACGGATTCCTCGCTATACAGGCAGCGAAAATGGCCGCTGTATGGAGGCTCTTCGCTGGATGGTGCGTTTTTACCCCATTGGAATGGATTGAACGGGTTTCAATGCGTTTCAATGGGGTTTTATTTTCGCTTTACGATATTTTCGCTTAACGGCAATTTTCCTGGAACGGATTATTGCTGTTAAGCGAGGGACCACTATACTGTGGCAGAGAGGGACAGCACACACCCGTATGATTTCTCCTAATCCCAATCATGATGGACTCAAGCAACAGAAATACTCAGTAATATGTAAATGCAGCAGAAAAATAAATCCAATAAGAGGTAAACTTATAGGACGTACTGTACCTTATAGTGAAAATTATCCAGATGTGTTGGCTGAGCTACAACTCTTATCCATTGTAGTCAGCAAGGACAGTGGATGATCAGATTTGTAGTGTCCATCTCTTGGGAAAGAATGGTTTAGCAAATGTTTATTTCTGGCTCATTTCTTTGAGTCAGGAAGCATGTTTCCTTGTGTGGACATTCGAAAAAGGAAGGAGGGTAGACAGCAAGAGGAGTCCAGTCTATGTTTGCTGTGCCTACTAATCTCAAATATTCCTTTCAGGGCCATTTGGTAACATGTTCATGGGTGCGCTATACTTCTGCAAAATAGCTTGAACCGGGCCTGAAAATACTGTTGGAAATACTGTTGGAACCCTCATATGCTACCTTTAAGAGTTTTTTGCTCAGAGGGACCTTTCTGGGTTTACTGACAATCAATCCAGTAGCAGCCAATTTTTATTCCCTGTCTCAGACTTTTGAAGCGACTTCTTGAAGAGATACTTCTTTGGTTGCTGTGGGTTTTTCGGGCTCTTTGGCCGTGTTCTGAAGGTTGTTCTTCCTAATGTTTCACCAGTCTCTGTGGCTGCCATCTTCAGAAGACAGCACTCTGTGCTCTGGTGTAGTTGGCTTGGGAGTGGAGTATTTATGGCTGTGAGATAGGCCGCTGTATGGAGGATCTTTTTCTGTAAATGGGTGATTAGTGTGTCTTGTTGTGGGTGTATTGTTGTGATAAGGAGGAGAGATTATCTGTCACTGTGACTGATGGGTGTCATTAGCTGGATGGAGTCTGTTGACCTTTGACTCTACCCAGCCACAAGGACCGGGTATCACTACACAAAAAAGACAAGCTAATGACACCCATCAGTCACAGTGACAGATAATCTCTCCTCC